GAAATAGCGGCTCCGGTCTATAAAACCGAAATTAAAGGTGGTGTGGATCCGTTGCACTGACCACGTGACACCCTCTATCCGCTAAAGTTCGCACGAACTTTGCCAAGAAGCTTTGGTCACTCGGTCGGTATAGTTCACTTGCGGACTACAGGCGACAAAGTTTGTTTTTGTTCTTACGCGTGTTTGGTATCTGACTATGTTATGTAATTCTCACGCCGTAAGGATATTCATCGAAGTTCATATTTGAGAGGTCTATTTTTTAAACTGTTCCATCTTGAACCAAAAGGAAAGAGACCACTGGAAAGACCAAGGCGTAGGTGTGTGAGGTGTGTGGACAATATTAAAATGGTTCTTAGAGAGATCGGATGGGATGGTATAGATTGAATTGATCTGGCTCAGGATAGGGACTAGTGGAGGGCTCTTCTGAACACTGTAATGATCCTTCGGGTTCCATAAAATGCTGGGAAATTCTTGAGTAGCTGCAGGATTGGCAGATGCTCCAGAAGGGCTCAGCTCCATGAGTAAGTAAGTGAGTAAGTTCCATCTGCAACTGATTTATATTTTTCAGAAAATTAAGGAGGGATAAAGGAAAGAAATAAAGCACGTAAAATATAAAGGATCGAAGGAAATGATTCCCGTTGAATGCCAAAGGGATTTTCTCGTACTAAATATAAACTAAGCAAGTAATCCTACAGCACTTGAAGTGTTATCATTCTTATTGTAGCTTTGTGTCAAATCCTTCACGTTAAGCCGTAGTCCTGCTGGTTGCACGTAATTTCACGTTAGTTGCAAATGTCTGGATTTGCAGAGAACTGTGGTGAAGTTTTGCCAAAAAACCGAAAGAAGAAACGAAAGAAAAAGAGGATAAATGACTGAGTTTGCAAAACGAGACACATGGAGTGAGACGACCACTGCACGCTTTTCTGCACACAACTACTAATCAAAAGTTTCGTATGTCACCGAGCCAGTGCGAGGCAAATCACCACGACGTAGCAAAACATGAACGTCTACTATGTGAGTTTGTATGACCGTTATTACACATAAAGAAGGGCAGCGGTGGCTCCTGATATCAGATTTTTTTTTATTTTATTTCATATCAAGATGAATGCTGATAATTTAGTTGAAAGTCCCTTTCTACGCATAAAATACAATTCAGCCACATTTGGGGTTGTAGATAGTCTAGAAATGTAGCTAGTCGTTTCTTTCTCCCTTTTACTTCTCCAATCTTCAGTCTCCAAATTCCACCCACAAACAATCATTTCGTTTTCTTTTGCATCTGGTATTCATCAGTGTCAGATAAAATATAGAAACAAAGAATTTTGAGGTTTGGCAAGAATGTGTACTCTGTTCCTCAATTTGAGGAGTTCTGTCTTCTGGGATATGTCACATAGGAAGCCAAGTAAGATACTGGCGTGACGCAGCAGAAAAAGCAACCCATTTTCTTGCTGTCTGCTTCATAATGCTATTTCGCTTGGATTCTTCTTCGATCCTGAAGATTGTGACATGTTCCACCGAAACGTCTGTTGATTTTCACCAGACTACATAGTGTTACATCAAATAAGACACGAAACGGTTGTGAGAACCTCTAATTTTCTTTGTATTCATTTAACGAATACTCGAACGTGAGGACACTCGAGTATGTAAATATAATTTTTATTTCATATTTTATTTAAAATTATGCTAAATCCCTCAACTATTATTACTCAATACATAAGATAAAATTTAAAAATATAAATTAAAAACATTCCACGCTTACATAAAAAAACCTTCGACTAATGTTAAATAATTTCTTCTCAAAATAAATTAGAATATATTTCGGTCTTATTTCTTAGTGCAAGGAACTAAGCAGCTAATGAATTCTTAAGAGAATGAACTATGGAAAGAACGTAACGGAAAACAGAACCACAGGCAAAATTATAGTTTCGTAACTTATGCTTATGTTAAATAAATGTAATCTTTAAGGGTCATCTTAACCCAAGGTCTCTTCAGGTATTTAGAAATGTAAGTAATTTCCTTCGTGTTTCTGGCCTCTACAAAGAAAAGGATTTTTTTTTCATGTTACTCTTACGAAATTATAAAATTATATATCTGACTGTATTGTAGCTAGGTATATATGCAATTATTAGATCTATATGTTATCCGGAGTAAAAGGATTTAAATGAAATTAGTATTGTCATCTGCTATAAGATGAAGTATTTGTGTCTCCCAATGTCCTTCCGTCCTATCAGTCTGGTAGTTGCTAGGGTCTATAATGCATAAGGCGATCTATGTATACCGCTGCTTTATTTCTAGTCAAACATGAAATTTAATACGTAAAATTATTTATTAAAACTGTACAAAACACAGCTAAATAGCATTATTTAACAATACTAAAAATATCTGACAACATATTTTCGCTTTTAGAACCTGAATTTATTTACAAATAAGAACAATTACTTCCCATTGCACAAAATTCAGTGTAACAATTAACATACAATTAAGGTTCTATTTTATTGTACATGAGGTCTAAAAGGTTATTAAAAATGCTCCCAGGTGATGAATCTGTTCTGTAGACCTAGAAAGTTACAAGGATTAAATACATTCATATTAAAAATGTGTACCTTGTGTTAGCTGCACCCTATAATTCGAAATATTAACGAATATGTGAGGCATAAAGGCATTTCAGGTGAACGGAGAAGCTCATGGAGGTAGGCCTAGGCCCACTGGGGCTGTAGCGCCAAGGAAAAAATAAGGCATTTCAGACGTTAAGCTGTATTGCTTGATACAGATTAATTTAATGGCTAGCTTAATGAACATTTCTCCATTCCTGTCATTCTGTGATGTGTGAAATCAATCATCAAACTGTCCTGTTCCTCTTATCATTTCTGCATTACTTCGAGTCCTTATATAGGACATTTCTTGCTTATGCTTTCAGTAACATGTACTCGTATTGGCAGAACACATTTCGTAGTGAATGAAAACTGGAGCAAGTACGTGGCAGTTAAGGCCGCGCCATAGCTTAAGCGGTTAGTCGCTGGCTTCCCACCGCGGCGGCCCGGGTTCGATCCCGGCTCTGGTCAAGTGGGATTTGTGGAGGACAAAGTGGAGCTGGGGAGGGTTTTCTCCGAGTACTTCGGTTTCCCCTGCCAATCTTCATTCCTCCAATTGCTCCACAATCACCCTCACCTCTCATCTTGGGCTGGTACAATAGGCCAGAAGTGGCCGCAGTACAAAGGACTTAGTCTCACTCCACTAGCAATAAAAAAAACGTGGCAGTTAAATTAACTGTGTGGTAATAAAAAAGATTACACAAAAATGAATGGTTTGCGAAGCAAATGAAAGCAATTAATAATGTAATGTAAGCACAGTTTCTCCTCCATGGAATATTACCATAAAATCTGCTTATGGTAGTAACTCATGGAACTAATATTGTTATTTGTGGCCCCGGTGGATGACAGCCTGCACTCTTAAGCACAGATGGAATTTTATAAGGGCAATTTGTTAGTAATTTCAGGATTATTGCAACATATCATCAGCAATGAGCCATGCATTATTGCTAGAAATTTAATTTGGAAACGTAGTGTTTTCTCTTTTCTAGAATACCTGACGATGGACAGAGTCCAAACCCGCAGTAAATCTCAGTCTCCGAAGGGTTATAACCATTTTGTCGTAATTTAAGTAAGGTATGATCATCATCATCATATTATTATTATTATTATTGCAATTTGTAAATGTACCTTAATTATAACTGAACCACGTAAAAAGACTCTAAAATTAACGAATATATCTATCATTATTGTGGATCAGTATGGCTGACGTCTTCCTAAATTTAATTATGATTTCTGCAAAAATTAGTAACAAATCACAGCTTCTTTATTTATGAAGAAAAACTGTTAGAATTGGGCAAATATATTACCACGGGACCGCTGGAAGTAAGTTACTTTTCATATACGCTTTCGCCACGTGCTCTAACAGTAAACGGAATGTTATTTCGAGCAGCCATTTTCTTTCAAATTGAGTTAATATTTTTTTTTGTGATCACATGCGAATATTCTCTAGATGGAAATCAGTTCAGGTAGACAAAGCATATTCCTACACCATCGATGTGTTTCCTTGATTGGAAGCCTCACGTAGGAACGGAAAATTGTTTACTTGTGTCCATCTTAAACGTAATAACAAATATACTGAACGAAGAGCTCTGTCTTCCGAGATATAACGCCGTGCAGTGCGTTGAAATTCGACCGACGTTTCGGATGAACATACGGCCTCCATCATGACAGTCGAAGAAAAAACCAAGCATGAAAACCAGAGTGCTGCTTCACGCTGAATTCTTGCTTCGCTTTTTCTTCAAGCCTGAAGATAGAGGCGACATGTTCCTCCGAAACATCTGATAAATCTTAACCACCGCTGTGAGAACCTCAAATCCTAAAAATTATACTGGACGTATCTGTACGTACCTCCGGTTCCTTGGTTCGACAACCGACGATGCCATTTGAAACCTGTAATGAGAGGATAATTATGAACACTCGGTAGAAATACGTAGGCCTTTTATAACTAAATAGATCTTTCTAAAGTATGATTTTTTAAGGGTGTAGCATTTTATACAGACTATTTTGAAGACAGGAGCCAAGGTAGCTCAGTCAGTACAGTGACTAGGCTATGGGCCAGACCATCGAGGAATCTGGCTTCGATTTCTGATAAGGCAAACAATTTTTTTCCTTCTCCATAGCGTCCAGGCCACCCCTGGCACTCACTCAGCCCCCTATATAATGATTACCGGGTGCTGGGTTTGTGACAGGGGCGTGGAGCTGACCCCTCACCTGCATCTAGTAGAGAGATCAAGAATCGTAGAAATAAATCTCCCCCCCCCCAATATGTCTTTACGGCGTGGTACTTAATTAATTAAGCCCAGAAAGAAATTTACATTTTTGCCGACCTTACCATTCTGAATCACAGGCATTGGAATTACGAATTGAGCAGTCCCGCATGTAGAACGAAGTTTTTACCACGCTTCTATGAAAGGCAGTGGTCCAGTTAATTTATGACGGCCTCTGACCTCTGCGGGTTTGTAGGGAAACTACGGATTCTGGGAGGAGGGTAAGCCCCTGAGCTCGCTTGTCAGTAACAGAAGACGAGGATGCGAGAACATTTAGCTATAGATCGGTTCAGCTCTCTTGCATATCTGTTCTGTTTGAACCACCGTAGTTTGCTTTAATCTATGCGGTGACTTCCTTCATAAGCATGTTAATCTGATTAGATTTCTCAGTCAGAGCCAGTTTTGGTTTATTTTTATACCCTTAATCTCTGCTCCTATCTGTCACCGTACTTCCCCGATGGACCTCTTCATAAATTCACAGGGAGCAATGTACTGATTATGTGCAGGCTTTATGTGGTCTATTTATCACAAATTAAATGCGGAAATTATGTTTAGTTTTAAATATTTCTCTGATATTATATGTTTCCAACACATTCTAATATTTACGATATCCCTTTAACGAAATTGTGTTCTGAAGGTCAGAGTTCTTGACTACAGATCCAGAGGTCCCGGATTCGATTCCCGGCGCTACCACATTTTCTGTGAAGTAGTGGGTCTGGAACGGGGTCCACTCAGCCTCCTGAGGATAATTGAGGAGCTATTTCAAGGAAATAGCGGCTCCGGTCTAGAAAATCGAAATTAAGGGCCGTGGGAATCCGTTGCGCTAACCACGTGACACCCTCTATCCGCTATAGTTAGCTCTAACTTCGCTGACAAGCGGCAGTCGCTCGGTCGGAACAGTTCGCTTGCGGACTAAAGGCCACGGAGTATATTTTTCTTTGTAATTATTATTGTACTTAATTGCGTCCCATTCTCAATCTAATAATTTTTTGTCGTTAACTCTATAAATAAAAAATTAGAGATATCAGTTGAGTGCCAAGTCCTGTCTAACGTTACGGGGAATAAAGAAAATTACGTATTAAAATCTAACAATCAAGTTCCTTCCGTCAAATGTGACACTTTTTAAGTTTTCCACCTCGTCACCACCTGCCTTACATGTTTCGGCTCACCACGGAGCCATCATCAGAGGCATTTATAGTAGAAAAAGAAATCACCAACACACAAAACTTCACTTTGTNTGTGGAAAGCCTTTAGTGAACCGACACTCTGGGTAATTTTAACTATTGTAATTGTTTTAATTAACTGGAACGTGGCTATTTTTAACAAAGTGAAGTTTTGTGTGTTGGTGATTTCTTTTTCTACTATAAATGCCTCTGATGATGGCTCCGTGGTGAGCCGAAACATGTAAGGCAGGTGGTGACGAGGTGGAAAACTTAAAAAGTGTCACATTTGACGGAAGGAACTTGATTGTTAATTTGTTAGTGTGACGGACCAGAATGAAAGACCTTAAACTTATTAAAATCTCCTTAATTTTTTGCCTTCACTAAAGAAGTTATGGGAGTAATGAGAAACACATAAAAATATCAATCACAGAAACTGACGGAAAGAGAGCACAAGGGAGACGTAGGTGTAAGTGGGAGAAGAGTATTAAAACGGATCTTTAATACGAGTGTAAGTATTCTGTGAAGAAGAATTGAATTCAGCAGGCTCGGGGTAAGATCTGTTGTCTGGCGTCTACGAGTATGAGTACCGTAATGAAAGGACCTCTACTTGTCAATCTGCTTTCACGCTAGTTTCTTGCTCCGGTTATTCTTGGATTCTGAAGTGTTCCTCCGAAACGTCCGTTAACTTTCAGCCGACTACATTGCGTTATATTCCAGAAGATAGTACTCTTCAAATTGAATATGTTTAAAGAACAGGAGAGTTAAGAAAGAGGCAGGTATATAGGACCCATTATGTATGTCTATTGGGATGAAGGAGGAATTTCAATTTCTGTCTCATCTTCATCTCTGAAACTCATTATAATAGCATCTAATTATATGAAATTACTTGCCCCACTTCATATCCAGTCCTCGTGAATGAAATTCTACTTTAAGCATCATCTTCATCTCAGAGAGAGATGAAAATTATATGTGACATTTCGTGTGAGCCGTGCGCTCTGTGACGACTATGTGAGATAATGAATGGATATCACATTTATCATACCGCAATTAATATTGTGATCCGTTGCTAGGTAACACATAAACAAGTATCACAACGACGGAAACGCAAGCAAAAATAAAACCTTTGGAAATGATGTTTTCTGTGCGATCCGTGCCAAAATTGTATATCGAGCGTGAAAGAGACATTTGGTGCCGTAATGCAACAAAATGACTGCTTTAGTTCATAGGCCACTGAGAGTCATAGCATTTAATGCAAATGGCATTTGGAGGCAGCATTTGAATTACTTTTTTGTGAGACAGTCGGTAAAGACGTAAGCATAGGACATTGTTGGGATCCGTTACCAGGCAAGAGTTAGTGAAGACAAAAAATAGAGCGTGTCCTTTGATTGGAACCAAAGTGCTCAAAAGTGAGAGCGTTGTAATTAGTTGAAGTTACGATTTATGTGGTAGAGTCATTAAGTTCGTGGAAAGTGGTTTCATTGCATCATGTTACAAGGTATTCACATACACTTACACAGATCCACATCGGCCCTCAGAATAGTTGCCGTTGGACGCTATGCAAGTCTGCCAACGTTGATATGGCTGTCGAAAACACTGCTGGAACATATTGGCAGGAAATTCCCGTACGACGCTTTGCGACCATTCCACGAACTTATTGACTGTGGTGGTATAAGTGTTCAATAAATCCAGTCACCAATCCAAACCCCGTGTTGAATCACACGTGACAATATTCTCTCAAGGTGAGAGCACTAAAAACCTTCAGGCAGCAGCTGTGATTTGTGTCCCATGAATTCGCCTAGTTATACGCACTGATTGTATAATTCATAATTCAAGCCCGTCATTCGTTATATTATCGTTAAAAATTGAGAAGATTATATGTGGTATGTCAAATAGCACAAAATTTACTGAACCCTCTAGTACTTCATTTCTCGCAGAATCTTTTAAATATATTCCCATTTATATGCAATGGGTAATCAACACAGTATCCATTAAAACGTTTATTAACTATAAATAATTAATAACATTGGTTAATTTTCAAGGTGAAAACAATCCAAGAGAGGACGAATATTTGTATGTAGGGCCGAGCTGAATGTATGCTCATGTTGTGATATTTATTTACTCACATTTTTACGATTTAATGACGCTGTCTCAAACTGAGGTTTTTGTGTCGAATAATGGGATGATGTACGAATAATACTTTACTGCGATATTCGATATGCTGCTTCATAAACACTCGAGCTTAACTCCACTCCCCCATACACCTTAATGGCGTAGTGCTTACTGAGTTAAGTAAAGGGACACCTTTACCATTTTAGTCTTATTCGCTGTAATATTCGTAGCCTAATATATATATATATATATTGAAACGTGTTTCGTTACTGAATACGCCGTAGAGATCGTTAATTGCTTTATTCAACAATCTACAAGAATAGTCACTTTGATGTCACTTTGAAGTGACAGTGAGACTGTTAAAATTCCGTTGCCAGGATACGACTAGTAAAGAGTGAGAACCCTAATGCATGTGTAACGGTGAAATGTAAAGTGTGTAGATCGGCGATAGCGCGGTATTGCCTGTAGTCCCAAGTTGTGTGAATAATATGTCAATAAATCCAATAATCCCATCCAGAACCCGTCTTATAAGTTACACGCAAAGCCACCCCTACACCTGACAATATTTCTGTCTTGTGAGATGTACCCCCTTATAGTCCAGCAATTCTTTAATTAAATTCCTGAGGAAACTGCTGCCTGTACAAGATGTTTCACGACTTTAGGGCATAACTGTAGGAGGTGATTTCCTAGGTCTTTGTGATCAAAAAATTTCATATAAACATGTGTTCGATTTTGGACGGTTACGGAGTTACGACCATTTTAAACTCAGAATAGAAGGTAACGATTACTGAGAATAAACGGAACAAAATAATAAACCAGCATAATACATGATACATTTAAAGTATGAATGTAAAGTTAACTTCGTGAAATTGCCTACAATTTGAATTTATTGGTGCTCAAAGCCGATTTTCGAAATTGCCACCGGCGGCCGCAACACAGGCTGCCGCCCGGTTGTGAACCGCGCGGGTACATACCAACCCACCACGCCTTAGGTACCTCACAAGTGACGAGATAACGAGAACGCTCTGTCTGTAGCTGGCTAAAAATTGCGACCCGTCAGATGATAGACTCGGTTCACACGAGGGCGTGTACGGGAATGAAAAAAACGGTCATAACTCCGTAACCGTCCAAAATCGGACACATGTTTATATGAACTTTTTCGATCACAAAGACCTAGGAAATCACCTCCTGCAGTTATTCTCTAAAGTCGTGAAACACTCTGTATTTATCCACTCTGAAGTTGGAGGCAGCAGATAACCCCTAAACACTAATGAACATCTACCACACTGAAAAATTCCGGATCTCAAGGAACTAATTTTCATAGTCACTGTCATAAGAACTGTACATTTCG